CCACACCCAAAAAAAAAAATAAAAAAAAAATAAAAAATAAAAAAAAAATGTCCACTCCTAAAAACCCTTCACCACCCAAAACTCGAGCTCGAACACCAGAAGCTTCATCATCATCATTCGACGAATTCGACGACTTCATAGACATAGAGTTGATTACGAGCCCGAAAAATACCAAACCCGAATTCGAGTTCCAAACGGGCCTCGACCCGTCCGCTTTCCCGGCCGACGACCTCTTCTACAACGGCAAGCTCCTCCCCCTCCTCCTCCCCTCCCGCCGCCAAATGCTCCACCACCTCTCCTCCTCCTCCGGCGGCGGCGGCGGTGGGGCCCACCACCACCACTCGGCCCCACCAACCGACACCCTCAATACCCCAACCGAGTCGTGCCGAGTCAGCTGCGAACTCAACCCGGACGACTACTTTTTCCACTGGTCCACAGACCTCAACAACAACAACAGCAACAACAAAAACAGCAACAACAAAAACGTTAATAATGTTAATTATAATTACTACTCTAAATCGAGCCGGAAAAACCTCGTGTGGCCGAAAAAGCTCGGCCGGAAGCTAAAATCCTATTTGAAGCCGATCTTCGCCATCCGATCGGCCGACGACGAGAATTCTTCTCGGGAAATCGCGAAAACAACAACACCCACAACAATAGCTTCTATAATGAAGGGCAACGAAATTAAAGATGGGGTTCAAGAGGAGGATCATCATAGGAGGTCGTTTTCGAAGGCGATTAAACGGCATTCGCCGGTTAAGTGTTTGTCTTCTTCGTCTTCGTCCTCTGCATCTTCTTCATCTTCGTCGTTTGTTTCGAATAATTCGAACGGTTCAAACGGGCTCGGGAGGAGTAGCAGCGCGACCGAGATCGAGGGCTCGATTGAGGCAGCCATTGCTCATTGCAAGAGGACTTTCGAAGGTTTCGGTTCTGGTAAATCGAGTAATGAGACAGGGGTTCTTGCATTCTCTGTTTCAAAGGATGATGTTGAAGGTTGTAAGAGAACAGGTGTTTGTAGCATTTGATGATTTTTTTTTTTTCATTTTTTTTTTCATTTTTTTCTCCTTTTTGTTTTGAATGATGTGAGAAAGTTTGAATCTTGGAATTTGGTTGTTGTTTGAGGATGTTTTTGAAAGTTTTGGATTATATTATGCACATTGATGTTTAGGGAAAAAAAGGGGGTCTTGATTTTGTTGAATTGCTGGAGATTTTTAGCACATTCTGTTTTGTTCAACTAAAAATTGATTTAAGTTGATTTTGTAATTTTTTTTTTCACGTTGAAATTATTTATGCTCTGTAATTAGGGTAAAGATATGGGTAAAGTGTGTAGTTAATTATTGTTAAAGAGATTAGTTAAAGGAAGTTAATTTAATAAGTAGTCCAAGCTTTTTTCAGAAGTGATGAAAAGAAGCGAGAAGAGTACAAAACAAACGACTTTTCCCACACACCTGATATGCCCAACTTTTCAGTAAAGTGGGACTCAGACTTTTGCAGTTTTCCTCTTGCATGAATGCCATTTGATTCTCTCAAATTTATTATTATTATTATTATTACACAAGATTTTTGTATGAAATAATTTGTGTTAGTCTAGTCGATCCGTCATAACTTTTTTAATAAAGATAAATATTTTCTAAAAAATGTCATACTTTGAGTATTTCGTTCTTCAAAATATGGAATTTCAATTATAAAACATGTATATTTGTTGAAAAAGTATGGACATATGGTTATCTAATTGTTAGGTCTTTAGCATTACTTTTAAAAATATAAATGAAATATAATTATTTTTCATCATTTTTAAAAACAATTTTTTATTATTTTTTAAAATTATATGATATGCAACTGTAAAAGTATGGATTTGACAGTGTTGAACTGTAAAAAGAACAGTTTCATGGAAGTACTTTCAGGATTTGGGTTAAGTGTACACATGAGAGGCTGAAGGGAAAAGTGACATTGTGAAATCCTTTTTTCTTCCATTTGGAAAGATGTAGCAGAAAAAAAGTTTTCAGGGAATCATGGCACTAACTTGCCTCGTGTACCNCTTTTTTGAAAAAAGGGCACTTGAATACTTGATCAAGGTCTCTCTTGGATGATTGAACAAACTATTTTAAAAATTTTGATATTGCTAAAGAAAAAAAAGATAAAACTTTGCCATTTGTTTAGTGAATTATGAATGTCTCATACGAAAGTGCCATTTGTGAAATAAATAACGAAATTATTCTCATATCATAGTAGAAAAATTAAAATGTGCTCGATATCATAATTTTTTAGCTATATACACACCGTGTATGATATATATTCTCTCGTGCTTCATTAACTTGTGGATATACTAACACTAATAGAAATATTTAATTTGTGAGGGTATACATATTTCATAGGCAAAATTGCTCTTAATATCACAATCTTTTTTGAAATTGCAATTTAATCACGACATATTTACTTTTGCAAATTATTCATAATCTTTATCTTGTTGCAAATCGGTGCACGGATTGCAGAATTCGTGCAAATTATATCACAATCTTCAGTTTGTTCTTCGGCCACATCAGCTTTTCTAGGGTTGGCTTTCAGAACTCGTGCATCAATTTGCAACGAATTAAAGGTTATGATATAATTTGCAAAAGTGAAAAAGTTCTGATTAAATTGTAATTTCAAAAAATATCGTGAAATTAGGGACAATTTTGCCTAATTCATATACATACATGAAACTTTATGTGAGTAGACAAGATTTGTCTTTTATTGATTAATTTTTTTTTCTTTAAAAGAAAATAAATGTATAAGCTATTTAATTACAATCTACTCACTCATGAGATAAAATAAGATAAAAAAATAAATAAAAAAAATGGGGTAAATGTAAGAAAAGGAAAGACCACTCACCATGTTTCCCTCCCAATGCTGGAGACAAAGACAAGAATAAATAAAAGCAATTAAAGTGCCACTAATTAACTAAAATTTGTTCTATACTTTAGGATAAAAGCACAAAACAATTCCCCAGACAAATTAAATGGCCTCTATTTTTCAATAATAAAAGCAAGTCTTCCCTATAATGCTAAAATCTTTGTTTAAGAGATTAACCTGAGATGAAATTTTGTCTCCCATTCACTTTGTTCCAAAAGTATAGTATGAGGACATTATCACAGTATCTAAGTGGAAAAATTATAAATAACTACAAAGGCTGCTTGATTCAATTTGGACACATTAACTTAGGTTATATATCATTATATCATATGCTCTGTCTCTCTCAAAAATCGAATATTATTGTGACAGCATACAATCAACCACAAAATCCAGAATTGTGATAGAATTCGGCTCCTTTTTATGTTTGGTAGTACCTTAATATGGACAATACTCATGTCCCTCANTCAAAATTCAAACAACGTTATGTAGATCCAAAGTAATTGATTTTGTAAGATGAGGTCAATCATTCCTAATACGCAAATAATATTGTTAATGTTGTTTTTAAATCATGATATTTTAGCATGGAAGTATGCATATTTGGTAACAAACTTTTCGAAGCGAAGTGAAGGTTATAACATATGCTGGACCAAAGGGAGAGGAAGGGAGGCAAGAACAGAACTCGAAGGATAAGGAAAAGCTTTGCTTGGGTTAAAATTATGATTTAGAAAATCAGACCAGACCAGAAACCGGTCTGATCAATGACTGGTTGAACCGGTCAGAATTGACCAAAAATCAATCTGGTCGGACCGGTTTGAACAGTTCCATTTTTTTAGAATCAAATTTTAATATATTTAAAAATATTTTTAATATAAATAAAAATACATATTAAAATATAATGATATAGATAAGTTATTATTAATTAGTTTAAGGAGGTGTGATTTTTTTCTTTGATTGAGTCCTAAAGCTCGAATCGCATCTCCTATATGTTTGGTTCTGAATGTTTGTCAAGTTCTGTCGACAAACATTTTTCTAATGATCTTCAGCAGCTCAAATCGCATCTCCTATATGTTTCACATAATCTGTATATGCATTTTAATGAAACTACATATGCAATCATATTAAACTCAAAATAAATACAATCAGCAACTAACTGGTTATAAAAGAAGATTTTTTTAACAAAGAAACAAAATTAAGGGGCGTTAGAGTGATTGATAGAAAGTTTGATCCATGTAGCTAACAATTATTTAGAAATTTAGACTTTTCTCCTATAAATTTTTTAAAGGGAAACAACAGCAAAAGGGGAGGATAAGGTGAAATCTTGAAAATATAATTCGAAAAATAAAAATAAAAATAAAAAAACTATGTGGTTGAAATACTAGCAGGACCATATTTCCATTTACGCCCAAATGTTGTCTAGGCACTTTTGGACCGACCCGTTTTTGCTCGGCCCACTTTGTGTCGTGTACAAAAACATGGCCCAAATTTTATTCTATAAGAATGATCCAGTCATTTGTTCAATGAATTCACAAAATGCTTGATAGTGAGAAGTCATGGAGGCCATAGCTCTAAGGCTGTGACCGGGAATACTTTGGCAAAATTTTCTTTAACTAACCAACAATGTTGAAATCTCATTTTGAGGGATTGTGAAGAATAAGTGTAACAAAGAATTTTTATTTCGTCTCCAACTGGGCGTGCCTAATTTGTAACAACAAATTTTATGAAAAACATAAAACTTTTTTGCAACTTGATTTATTTCGATCGAACGATTTTGCAAGTACAATCTCTATATATGTCTCTTTTAATTATTCTCTTCGTGAACTTGGATTTGGATTTTCAAATGAATTTGACACTTCGATCTTTTTTGGACTTGAACTTGAATTTGACTAACATTAATTTAGGGGTCGAATGACTTATTCCCAAATTAAATGCGAGGACTTATTTGATTGGAAGACTTCTTGACATTCTTTCTTTTTTGATCTTCTTTGGAGAGGAATTTGATCTTCATGAGCACCTTTGGATCTTCGAGGGAATACGTCGATCTTCAACTTGAATGTTTTAGATATTCAAGAACACCTTTACACCTTTGCATCTTCAAGTGAATTATTGAGAGCTCTTGAACTTGAGATTTGATTTAGAAGGTGTGATTTTTTTCTTTGGTTGAGTCGCTATTTAATGTATAGGAGAGAGTAGGCCTGATCTAGATCATAAAATGAGTGGGGGCCTACTTGTTCTTAGAAAACTAATATAATACATCATAACGAAGTATAAATACAAAAAATACACATTCATTCTTATGAGTTTTCATATCTTGGTATGACTTCACAATAAGATCTTTACATTTTCTTTCGGCCTAACAATTTTTTAATTCACCTCAAGTATATTTTGACTAAAACTAGCTAATTTTGAAATATTTTCATGTGCACTTTTTTGTAAAGGCTATTTATAAAAACATTTCACCATAATTTGATATAAAAGAATAAATTATAGTGTATGAAATATTTTATCTAATATATCAAAATTTTAAGTACAAGTTATTATTCACACACAAATTGAATATGTTAATAGTCTTTTAATAAACAACATAAAGTTTAATTTTTTATTTTTATATCAAATCCAATAAAAAGAAGGACTAGATTTACTCTCACCAAAATCAACAAGAACACTGGTTTCTTTTCCCCATTATCTCTATTTTCTCTCTTCTATGTGTTCCCATTGTTTTTTTTTTAATTGAGTATTAAACTATTTTTTTAATAGGGTATATAAGTAATAAGATAATATTTTTTTATTGATTCTTCATGATTTGATATAATCTTGTTCCTTCTCTTAAGATTTGATTTGGTAGGCATGAAATAATTACTTTATTAATTATATATCTTATTTATCTTGGATTTATGTCCAAAGATAAATAACAACACGAATTAATAAAATATTAAAATTTCGATGTTTACAATAAGATTCAATGAATATTTAGTTGACGATATATAAAAAAGTAAATAAGTTATTATCATAGTAGTCATGGCCACGGGCCGAACAGGCTGGACCTATTCATGGTCAAGCCTGTGGTCAACGGGCCTTGAACGGACCCGTGATTTTACCTGGGTCGGTTCAGGTTCAATCATTTATACTAATTGAACTGGCGAAACTGGAATTAAAATCGAAATGAATGTTTCGACTTTTTTTTTTCAAATTATAATTATTTTTTTTAATAAATCGGTTTGGTCAAGAAGCGACTGTTCATGAACAGACCCTGAACCGCATGTTCATTAAACCGGCCCATATATATTATCGGGCTGGTTCAGGGCCCTCCTAAAACGCGACCCAGAAACAGGAAATGACCACGTCAATATCATAGTTGTAAAAGCCAAATGGAACTGGCCGGTTGGGTTGAGAACTGGTCCACTGGTTGGTCAGATAAGCTCTTGCTAAAGAATCGGTTAAGAATGGGTCTTTTGACCGGTCGAACCGTTCACTTATTTTATAGCTTTTTCTATCAAATGACTTTTAATATTTTAAAATAAATATATTTTTAATATAAATAAATATATATTAAGTTTTTTGGACATGTAGTCTATCCTATTAATAAATGAGCTTAATAAATATATATTAATATATTTTTATGAATTAATACGGTTAATGTGCTATCGAATTTATTATTTTTGGTAGTTATATTTAGCCAAAAACTTATTTCTCTTTAAGAAAAAAATGTTTAATAGGACATGTTGTTAACTAAAGTATTAATATATTGATAGTTTAGGAAAAGGTGTTACGAGTAATTATAAATGTACTTAATTAGATTGAATAATAACTGGAGTGAAATTGGATTACTCTCAATTTGTTTTTGTTTTATTTTAATATTTTACCTTTTTATGTATATTTTTTAGTTGCTTCTTAATTAGTTTTTTCACATCATCAAACCTCTATTTTCCTGTTTTCTTAGTGCATGGACATAAATTTTTTTAAAGAAATCCAATCATATTTAACTATTTATTTATTTATTTATTTATTTTAACTCAACTTCACTATCCTCAATATAATTAAAAAATATCACTCAATCACTCTTACATATTACATCAACTTCAATCCACTATTCATCCATTCGCATAATTTTAACTAACAGTAACTTCATATCACATTTTTCTTACTTTACATCAAATTAATCTCCATCTGCAGCAAGAATCTTAATTTCCAACTTTTGAAAAAATTGGCTGTTGTGAAACGAGAACAATACGAATTAAAGACGAGAAAGTAAATGACACAAGATTTACGTGGTTCGGCAATGTGCCTACGTCCACGGCGGAGCAGAGATCTTATTATTCACTCGTTATCCCAAATACATCAATACATAATGTATTTATATCATATCCCTACAAGGTATAAATTTACATAAATACCCCGTACCGTACCGCCCCCGCTCCGCCCCCGCACCCCCGGCCCAGCTAAACGACCCAGCCCAACAAAGGGCCGATGCCTGCTCGCTCCGCTCCGCTCGCAGGCATCGGCCTGCCTCCTTCCTTTGTCAATATATGAGCCATATCAACATTGGCTAAATCAAATCTTTATCTACTTTTCACAAATTTCCATTTTATTTTTATGAATAAATGAACATTAAAGTATCTTTCATTCTTATTGTTGATAGAGGTTGTACATCATTAGTTAGTAGATCAATGTTAGACAATAAAAATTATATAAAAATTTAAAGTAACGACAATCTTAAGCTGAACGGACTCGATTTTTAGACGAGTTCGAGTAGAAACTTCACTCGACTCACTTCGAATAACTCGAATTCCACCAAAATTGATGAAATTCATACATATTTAGCCATTGTTGGTCGGTAGAAATACTTTGGCCATTTTTGGGATTGTAGTGTTATGTTATTTTTCTTTTCAACATTTTGAAATTTTATATCAACCTATATAGCTCAGAATATGCCCGTCCCTAATAATAAGCTTACATAAGAAATAAATAAAATAAAGTTATTATTTGTCTGACCATAAAAAGAATCCCACAAACAGAGTCCTATAGTCCATGCATTGATCATTTCATTACACGATTAAAGATAACACAAATTAATTACGCAGAAACAGAAAGTAATATGTAACTGTTTTCATATGAAAGTCAAAACGAAAATTAATTGAATTACCCAACACTTAAATGTTTAATATATAGGTCGGTTTCATGTACCACCACTAATAATAAATTCATCAATTAAATAATAGTAAGAACCAGATGGAAAAAAAATAAGAATATTATAGATATTAGTTTTTGCCAATTTTTGTGTGAATCAGCCTAACTATTAATCGGATCGAACCATTATGCCTTTTCTACAAAAATGCATACTTATGCTATTAAATGTCACTTTTGTTTATATGTTTTTTTATAGTATGACATTTCATCTNCGGTACTACGATTTGATACAATTTTTTTCTAAAACTTCACCATTCATTTAATTTAGATTTTTTCTGCTCAATATTATCAATACAATTAAATAGCAAAAATCAACTACACAATTGTAATAAAATTTATATCCACTCACTTATTCATAATTACCGATTAATTATTTCACCTAATATTTTATTTTATTATTATTATTTTTTTCTCTCAGCTCACTTTTTTTAATTCATTTATTTCCTCAAAATTATCTAGATCCAATAGGAGCTGAATCCATATTATATTTGATTTATTTCACATCCACAACTTTATCATTTAAAGCACGATCACCAAAACTCAACTGTTTCACATCGATTCATTATTAATGTGGGCAAGTAAGTAAAATAAAATGAATTAAATAAATCCTCCCACACCTATAAATGAATCCTAGAACGTTAATTCATTAGAAACCCAAAACACGAGTAAAATAATAAAATATTATTACACAACCCAACATTTGGAAACTGAAACATGGGATTGCTCCTGCCGTACGGACACGTGGACTCCAGCTTGAGGGGATTGGCTGGCCAAGCTGAGGGCTTCGGCCGTTTGGCCGCCGGCGGCTTTAACGGCGCGGTCTACTGTGTCACCACCCTGGCCGGTAAGAGAAATATATAATACCGTTAAAGTTTGTTATCTTTTATATTTAAAATAAAATGATTTAATTAAGTTTACGTGATATATAAAATTTTACTGATTAATAAGATTGGTTGATATGTTCGAGGATGAATAATTTTTTTAATAATATATGATAATAATTGCTTTCCAATTTTGAATTGTGTTATTGAGATAATAGATAAAAAAATAAAATGGTATGCTTAATATTTTTTGAGATTTTTTTTTTCATTTTATTTCCTTGATTATATACATTTTGACTGAATAGAAAAAATAAATTAAAAGTGCTTGACATTCAATCGAATTATTGGAAGAAACTTTCTACTTAAGAGTCATGTTTCATTCTATTTAAAAAAAATGACATAGGTCTAATGATAATATAATTATACATGTCTTAATTGTCCAAACAAATGAAACATACAATGGAACATGATTTTGAAATGAATCCTGCGTTTTTGTTATTTTCAGTTGCTTTATCCTTATAGCAGTTCTTACTTGTTCACCCAATAAAAGGCTAAATTAAAATTAACTACCCCAATTTTGATTTATGACAAAATGTCAATATAACATAAACCTCCCAAAAGTTAGACAATTTTACAGTTGACCTCTACCGTTCAAATTAGTTGATCTCACCACAAATTTCAAACAATTAGACCATTTCGAGTTGTCTAGCTAATGGTAGCATTCAAAAACTTGAGAAATAATGTCAAAATCACAATATAAGAATCATATCATACAGTCTAACTATTAGACAGGTCGATCCATCATATCTTTGATACAATAAATATATACTTATATTATGAAATGTCATATTTTTATTTATATATTTTCTTTTACTATGACAAAAAATTAATTTGATGTTCAAATTATTGCATATCCCTAGACGACGGGCCTGGTTCCCTACGTGACGGGTGCCGTAAACGGGAACCTCTATGGATCGTGTTTGAGGTCTCGGGCACGATCGATCTCCGTTCGCTTCTCTCTGTGTCGTCCCACAAGACGATCGACGGCCGTGGTCAAAAAGTCAAACTCACGGGGGATGGTCTAAGGTTGAAAGAATGCGAACACGTCATCATATGCAACATTATACTCGAAGGCGGCCGAGGCCATGACAAAGACGCTATTCAGATAAAACCGAGCTCGAAGCACATTTGGATCGACCGTTGCAGTCTTAGCGACTTCAACGACGGCCTCATTGATATTAGCCGAGAGAGCACAGACATCACCATTTCTCGGTTAGATATGTGATTTCTTTTNNTGATTTATTCTTTCGAAAGTTACGAATGTGCGTTTTATATCAACCGAGAGAGTACGGACATTACTATATATTTCTCGGTTAGATATGTCTTCTCCTTTTGTCGAGTGATATTTCGATTTCATTTGTTCGAAAGTTATGAATGTGCATTTTATATCAATCGAGAAAGCACGGACATTACCATTTCTCGGTTAAATATGGCTTTCTTCGAGTGGTATTTCGATTTATCTTTTGAAAGTTACGAATGTGCCATTTATCGATGGCTTTCTTCGAGTGGTATTTCGATTTATCTTTTGAAAGCACGAACATTACTATTTCTCGGTTAGATATGGCTTTCTTCGAGTGGAAATTCGATCATTCCTTCGAAAGTTACGAATGTGCATTTTATATCAACCGAGAGAGCACGGATATTACTATATTTCTCGGTTAGATATGACTTTCTTCGAGTGGAATTTCGTTTCATCTCTTCAAAAAAAGTTACGAAATGTGCATTTTACTTTTCTTTCGTGCGTTATAATTTCGATTCGCCTCACATCTCGCTCGACTATTTTATTTATTTATTTATTTATTTATTTTTTCGGTTATTATTAGATGCCACTTTGCGCGGCACAACAAGGCCGTGCTCGTGGGGGCGTCAGCATCCCACACGGGCGACCGGAACATGCGCGTCACTATTCACCACTGCTTTTTCGACGGGACCCGCCAGAGGCACCCGCGCGTTCGGTTCGCTAAAGTGCATTTGTACAACAATTACACGAGAAATTGGGGTATTTACGGCGTTTGCGCCAGCGTGGAGGCTCATGTAAAAACCCGACTTTCCTTTTTTCTCGATTTTTTTTTCTTAATTACTTTTATATTTGCTGACATTTGTGTTTTTGGTTCGTGCAATTAGGTGTACTCGCAATGCAACATATACGAAGATCCGCATAGAGCCGCATTCAAATACATGAAGGAAAAGGTATTTAAAATAAAATCGCGAAGTTTAATTTATTTCGCACGTGCTAATCGAGTGGTTATTTTGCGCGAATTCCTCTGCAGGCAGCTGATAAAAACGAGGAATGTACGGGTTTAATAATTTCGGAAGGCGATTTGTTCGTCGACAAAACTGAGTCTGGCTTGCAGTCTCTCCCGAGAGAGTCATGCGTTTTTAAACCGAGCGAGTACTATGCCAAGTGGACAGTCGAGCCACCAAACGACGATTTGCAGCATTTTCTTCAGCACTGCACGGGATGGCAGAAGATCGACCGGCCCGCGGATAAGTCAAATTGTTAAACAGAGAGTTACTTGAAAAAACACATTATTACATATGTTTGATGTGTCTAAATTAAGGTTGTGACCAAAATAAACTGCTGTCTGTAAGCAGTATTGACTATTGAGCTTATCAGCTTATTTTGAGCAATTGAGCTCAAGATGGATTTATTGTTTAATATTGGGAATAAAAATTCTGCTTATGTTTTGATTATGCATTTCAAATGAGAGATGTTGCGATTTCTGAAATTTGCGGAGTTCATATAATGAGGCATTATGTGTTTGTGTGAAATAATGGATTTACTAATTAGATATTCGTGTATTGCACGTAGGTAAAAAAAAAATGTATATTTGTACGACAAAAACTTGATTTATATTTTTATTATGAAATTATAAACAATAAATGTAATAAATAATGAAGAACTAATAAAGTGGTAATTAATTTAAATGATATCTCCTTTGTCATAAATAATAGTTTCTTCATTTATATTATGAATTATATATATATATATATATATATAATAAATTTTATCTACAACTTCATAAATTCAATTTCAAATTTTTTAAACAAGTTGCCAAGTTTTATTGTTCCCTTTAGTTTTTTTTAAGAAAATTATATTTAAAATTGAATAATAATAATAACAAAAACTGCTATAGTTTTAAAATACTTTTTGAAAAGATATATTATTATTTATATTTGAAATGATATCGTCAGTTACACGACTTACCACCTTATGCTATATTTTTTTAATTTATACCAGATAACTACTTTGTAGTTAAATTAGTTTAAATAATATTATTTTTTTGAATTAATATTATTGAACAGTTTAATTTTCATTATAAAGATAAATAAGATAATTTATTTATTTTGTATGTATAAAACAGATGTCAAATCGAAGCTCATCAAAATATGATTAATTTAATATATTATATATAAAAATTTGTTAATAAATAAAAAAATTATTAACTTTTAAGTATATTTATAATTTAAGTTAATAAATTTGTTATAATTTTAAAAGAAAGACTGGAAAAAAATTACACATTATAAATCACATCTACAATAGAAAATAGTATTAAAATATAATTAATGCTTTTAAAAGGGACCATAAATATCCAATATATTTATGGATATTCCAAACCTAGTTACTTTTGGATTGAAAATAAATTAAAATTCATCCAAGCTTAAAAAATTGCTACATAGGATTTCAAAACGTGCGAATCTGCCACTTAGTCTCAACATATTCAAAAATTATATATAAGGGGATTATGTATTACAAAAACATTCAAATAATCTAGAACTAAAATTGACACAAATTCAAAGGATAAAACACATTTAACTTTATAGTTCACTTCTTCGTTTCGATTGTTTAGTTCGGTACAATATGAAACAGTTTGATTCAGTTCTTGGTATAAATATATGTGAAATCTTCATAATCATACCAATTATTTGTTTTTTATTCGACTATAAAAAGTTTAACATTCCACAAATATTATTAGATTTTGGGTTATTCGGTTCCATACCCAGATCACATGTCCGTCAATAAAATGTGGCAATCGAAAGATTGCCATTTACATCATTGTTTTTCAACCTGGACAAGTTCGGTGAGTCGACCCAGAGCCAAAAACGGTCCGAATGAGTGATTTGGACCAAGTGACAACGAATTCAGTCAAAATCCGGTCAGTCCAGAAATAACCCGATCGACCCAGGCATGTACCCATCTAGGTCAACCGGATATGACCCGACCAATTTTTTATAATACTTTAAAAAATAAAATAAAATAAATTATGATATTTTTAACGGATTGACCCATAAGCTTATCAGGATTTACAATATTTATTTATTGTGTCTCATAAAATCAGACACATTAATGAAAGAATAAAAACGGTACCGCAAAGCTGTAACCGTTACTCGTCCATCGCGCTCTCTCTAAACTCCCAACCAACGCACAAAAACTGTCCACCACCACCACCACCTGAAATCCACATCTCCTCCGCCGCCGCCGCCACCTCCCGGAATCCACCCTTTCTCCGGCCATGAAGCAGCTACACAAGCAATCTTCCATGCCCATCTCCCACGCCTCCCCCCATCAGCCCTACTCCCCCAAATCCCTAAAACATCCCCGCCCCCTCCAGAAACCCCTCGCCTACCTCCTCCGCGAGCAGCGCCTCCTCTTCATCCTCGTCGGAATCCTAATCGGCGCCGGATTCTTCATCTCAACCTCCTCCTCCTCCTCCGCCTCCGACCCCCGCCCCCAAATCGTCTCGTCGAACCGCGAGTCCTTGGCCCACCGCCGCGATCCCGATCGGGGTGGGTTCGTGAAATCCGGCGGAGTTGGTAGGGTTCCGATGGGGATCGGGAGCAGGAGGAGGAGGGTCGTCGTCACCGGCGGCGCGGGTTTCGTCGGGAGCCATTTGGTGGACAAGCTGATCGCCCGAGGGGACGACGTGATCGTGGTGGACAATTTCTTCACGGGGAGGAAGGAGAACGTGATGCATTTGTTCGGGAACCCTAGGTTCGAATTGATCAGGCACGATGTGGTGGAGCCGATTCTGTTGGAAGTCGATCAGATCTACCATTTGGCCTGCCCTGCGTCCCCGGTGCATTATAAGTTCAATCCAGTCAAGACTATCATATCCTTTTTCTGTGTGTGTGTTTTGGATGCCATGGATTTGATCTTAGTGTTGCTTTTTGTCGGTTGTTAACTGATTTGGGATGCGTAATTTGATTAATTCTTGAATTGCTGTTGAGATTTCTGGTAACTATCTGAGATGTGTCTGCATGTACATGTTAATGCATTTTAACTGGTTTGATAATGTTGGTGAATCGAGTATGAGAACAGATCAAGTGGGAGCTTTTAGCTGGGTTTTTTTTATCTGTGTATGTTTGTGTTCTGATTTCCCTTTTAACATATTCAAAAATACTTATTAGTTTTACCATTAATCGGTTGAGATCCTTAACTGTGTGATTACAAGACTAATGTGATGGGCACGCTTAACATGTTGGGCCTCGCAAAGAGAATTGGTGCGAGATTCCTAATCACGAGTACAAGTGAGGTGTATGGTGATCCTCTTGAGCATCCACAAAAGGAGACTTATTGGGGACATGTAAATCCCATTGGTATGTGTCAAGTCACACTGAATTCTCTGTTTTTTCTGATGGTTATGCAGTTAAAACGAGTTTCTGATTGGATGATTTTGTGATGTTAGGGGAACGGAGTTGCTATGATGAAGGCAAGAGAACAGCTGAGACTTTAGCTATGGACTATCACCGTGGAGCAGGTGTCGAGGTAGTTTTTATACCTCATAATATTTCCACAGGTTGAAAAGCTCTGTGCTTAATGGGTTGGCTCTGGCTGTCAACGTTTGAGTTGAATTTTTTTTCAATGTTTGATGGTCATTTTTTTTCTGTTTCTATGTCATTAACTTTGGTAGCGAAAGTTCTGTAGCACAAGTTAATCCTTTGTGATAGAATGGTTTAGTCCAGTTTAGTTTGCAGTTTTTTGAGAATATTGATGCAAATATCTAAAGGGCAAGATGTAGAGTAAGGTCTCTCTGAAACTTTCTTTCTCCCCGGTGTTGTTCTAATGACTACTTTTGATTGATGATACAACTTATGGTGCTGCGCATGACTACTTAAGAAGATTTATTTTTTATTTTTTATTTTTATTTTTTTTCAATGGGAGCATCGTAGATCTTGTAGGAACATGCTTAGTTTAGGGATTTAGATTTAATGCATAAATTTTATTTTTTGCTTCTTGTGATGTTTATACAGGTGCGCATTGCTCGTATTTTCAATACGTATGGGCCCCGCATGTGTCTCGATGATGGGCGTGTTGTCAGCAACTTTGTCTCCCAGGTTTTTTCCCATATTATTATTTTTCAGTGATCTGAAAGTTTGAGATTTATGTTGATCGCCGATTCTTATTGCCGTGGATTTACTTACTATGCATTAGGCTATTCGGAAACAACCGATGACTGTCTATGGTGATGGGAAGCAAACACGAAGCTTCCAATACGTGTCCGATTTGGTATGCCATTTTGTGATTATGAAAATTGCTTAAGAGTGTTGTACTTTGTGACTTTGTTCCATTTTAGACTAGACTAGCTGCATTGAAAATACCCTTCTGTAGTTCTATTCTTTTAAAAGACGATATAACAACATTTGAAGAACTCTCTCTCTCTCTCACTGATAATATAGCAACACTTGAAGAATTCTTTTGAAAGACGATATAGCAGCATTTGATGATATAGCCTATATTCGTGCTGATTTCAGTCTCCTCATTGATTGAATTCATGATGTTTATAACTTATTATAACTGTAGGATTTGTCGAAAGTACTCCTAAATTTGTTTGAGTTTTCTCATTGTGAATCAAAACACAATAATATTCATTCCCTATATGATGTGATGATGCCCAAACGTTTTGGATGTTAGGTTGATGGATTAGTGGCGCTTATGGAAGGCGAGCACGTGGGCCCATTCAACTTGGGCAATCCGGGAGAATTCACGATGCTGGAACTTGCCGCGGTATGTTCTAACTAGAGCATTACTTTCCTTTTGAAATAAAACTAGAAATACTTTTCGTAATAGTTTCTATAGAAAAAAATGCTGTTGTCCTGAAAATCATAGGTTGTAAAGGAAACCATTGATCCAAGTGCAACAATTGAGTTTCGACCAAACACCGCGGATGATCCTCATAAGAGGAAGCCAGATATCAGCAAAGCAAAAGAGTTCCTCAACTGGGAACCGAAGATTTCTCTGCGCGAAGGTTTGCCTCGAATGGTGGATGATTTTCGAAACCGCATCTTGAATGAAGATGAAGGAAAGGGGAACTAATAAGCTATATGTTTTTATTTATTTGATGTTTTTTGTTTTTTTTTTTTTTTCATAATTGCGAATATAGGGGGAACACACACTATTTCTGGAGAGACCAATTTTTTTTAGTTTTGAATAATTTGAAAGAATTTTTGTAAATATAGTTTTGCTCCACACGAATTCGGATTTTCGCATCCCTGTTGAAGAAATTTATTAAAAAACTGATTTTGAGGGTATTTGAGAACTTGTGCTGCCATTAGTGGTTTGTTTTTAACTGTTTGCAGGTCTCCTTGTGTTACTAAGTTTTTGAAATATCTAACTTTTTTGATGAGTTCAAAGTGTCTCGCATGCTATTTGTATAGTGATGTTTGTTGGGCTCATTACATGTTGATTGTTCATTGTGTATCTTCAAAAATGTGCAACAGTCTTCAAAGAAAGCATATAATTTATTTTTTTTTCTTAAAAAGAGAAAAAGAAACATGTATATATATTTTGATGGCATGAATTGTAAAGGATCTAAAAAGAAAAGAAAAGGGTGGAAAAACACAAATGCATGAACATAGGCATCTGATTCCATTTATTTCTGGACCTTTCATACATATTGGCCTAATCTTTAGACAGATAATATAGCAAAGCGGCTCAATTTTATCATTCACCCACAGAAAGAAAAATTCCACATGATGTATCTTTTAAAATCAAGAAGCATATGTTCCAAAAGCATCTTAAAAGGCCACTAACAATTTATTCTTATTCTTGTTATCCATTTTTTTCTTTTATGTAACCAGTTATGAAAACAAAGTTATAATCTAAGATATTTAAATCATACTCTTATTATAATTTACAGGTTATCCGGTGGCACTATTTGTCTCTTTGACTAAACACAAATTTACAATTTATATATAATTTCTTGTTTCTCATTTTAATATCTCAACATAAACTGCCGCAGACCAAGCTGCAGAAATGTCTCAGCTTCTAGAAATGTTTAGGAGGTGATTGGATATGAATTCAACTAGTAAAAAATTGGTTATTTTTTCACTATAGTTAAGTTTGAAAAAAGGTGGTATGGTTAGTTGTTAGTGGATATATTAAAATAATATTTAAAATTTAATAATTAAAGTTGATTTGATGAAAAAGTAGGAGAAAATGATTGGAAGTGATAGTTAATTAAAATTATGTGAGTAGATGAATAGTGAATTAAAGTTGATGTGATGTGTAAGAATGATTGGTTGATATTATTTAATTATATTGATAATATTGGAGATAGTGGAGTTGAGTTAAAAGTTGAGTTAAATTTGAGTTTTGATTGATTTTTTTACTGTACAATTTGTATACAATCGCCCCCTTAATAATTTTATTTTAATCTAAATCTCACACAAGAAATGCATTGTATGGTACTTATTTCACCACCTTGTTTGAAATTTTAATTTTTTTTTAGTTCAAACCCACAAAACTCACCAAATTGCACATATGGCCTTTGTCATTTCCTTGATCAGACAAATCACCTATTGCAAATAAACAAAACCTGAAATATATATTTTTTTTTGGTTTCTGATTTTTTTTTACCATTTTAACACTTCAAGAATATTGCTTGAAAGCAGCCCTTTTTAATTCTCTTTCCCCCATCAAACTATTCTTATTCCCTAACCCAAACTTATTAATTCCATATTCT